TGTTCAGGAATTGCGTAAACAAGAAGCACGTGTGTGACGGCATGAAGGACTGCCCTAAGGGAGACGATGAGGAGAACTGCCCAACGAAGCGCACCTGCACTCCTAGTGATAAGTGCGAAAAGCTGTGCATCACCACACACGATGGACAACCGGCTTGCACTTGCCCTTTGGGTTACCTGCTAGCTGAGGATGGTTTCAGGTAAAATTAGAAAAGTTCAATTACATCAAATACATTCGATTAGTTTGAAAATGATGAACATAATTATAATACAAGTATATAACATGACAGTTGCCGCGACATCGACGAGTGCATGTTCGAGCAGGACCCGGTGTGCTCGCAGACGTGCTCCAACACGCCGGGCACCTTCACGTGCGGCTGCATGACGGGCTACGTGCTGCGCCCGGACGCACGCTCCTGCAAACCCATCGGAGAATCCCCCACGCTACTGTTTACCAACAGAATTGGCATACGAAAGGTCCGTGATCTTTAAACATATCTCCTCCTGGTTAACGAGTTTAATTTGTTATTGTTCAATAACGCTTTATGAAATCACTTTCTTAATATTAATGCAATTATTTTCCCAGGTGTGGTTGACTGGTGAGAATTATGAGCCAGTGATAAAAGGACTCCATAATGCAGTCTGTCTCGACTATCATTACGAAAAGCAACTCATTTTCTGGTCAGAGAACAACATGAAAGTTATAAGAGTCGCGGAATTGATTAACAATACAATGTCAGGTAATGGAACTATAACGTTACGAATCTAGAAGTATTATTGTGTCTATTAGCTATTAGAAAAATAAAATGATATTAAACTAAGTTTAGATTAAGTCTGCAACAATAATAATTAACTTCGGTGCTCAAAATTTATATCTTTGGTTGCATATTCCGGAAACTTTCTTTCTAGTGTATTTTTGTATGAATCAAATAGGACATTTAGGAATGAAGTTTCAAGAGCTGCTACTCTATTTTTAGATGTAATAAAATGGGGATTAGAAACGCCAGGTGGTCTTGCCTTGGACTGGATACACAATTTGCTGTTTTGGACTGATTCGGGCAACAGAAGGGTCGAGGTTGCCACATTAGACGGCATGAAGAGAGCTGTGCTCACAGCTACCGACTTAGACAAACCTCGAGCTATTGCTGTTCATCCTGGCGACGCTTTGGTATTCTGGACTGATTGGGGTAAGATATGACACTTTAAATTGCATTAAAGTAATTTTGTACTATTGTTTCTGTACTAACTTATGTATCTAACGTTACCTTTTAATACCAATTGGTTTGTCTTACAGGCCCTAATCCAAAAATAGAAAGAACTGACATGGACGGCAAAAGAAGAAGGAGTATTATTTTTGATAACATATTCTGGCCTAATGGACTTACAATAGATTACGTCGAATCTAAAATTTACTGGGCAGATGCTAGACACCATGTTATAGAGAAAGCGTCTTTTGATGGAAAGGACAGGAAAAGGGTAAGATCTTGATATTAATAAAAAGATACATGCTGTTAGTAAAATACTAAGAATTCATGTAACGTATATCATACAGGTGACAAACAAAGGTCTGCCACATCCATTTGCTCTGACGGTATTTGAGGATGCAGTGTACTGGACCGACTGGCACACAAAGAGCATATCAACTGTCAATAAATATACTGGAAAGGGAATACAAACAGTACACGCCAGTCCCACCGCGCCTATGGATATACACAGGTAATCATACTTCATACTAATATTATAAATGCGAAAGTTTATAGAATGGATAGATATTTTTAAGAGTTGCCTAAACAGCTGAAGGAATCTGGATGAAATTTGGCATAGATGTAGAACATAATCTGGAAGAACATAGAGACTACTTGCTTTTGTTTTTTAATTCTAAAATTCAAAAGCTAGTAGTTCATTAATTTAAAATGAATATAACTTTGTTTTGTAACGTTAATAAAATGATATGTGTGTCTATTTTTGGTGTAAAAATTTTGATTCATTACTTTTTCTTTCCTTCTAGTTATCATCCGATGCGACAAATTCGTACGTACAGAAATCGTTGTGGCAAGGACAACGGCGGCTGTTCCCACCTCTGTCTCCCCAACAGCATCGATTACTCCTGCCGGTGTCCCGCCGGTTTCAATTTAAAATCTGATGGGTAACATTTACTTTATTTTGTTAGATGCATTCATATTTTTCTGTTCTTTATTTATATATTTTATTTTAATTTCTCCAGCCGAACCTGTGAAGACACCCCGGAGAAACTCCTGTTGTATGTTAGCAAGAAAAACATAAGACTTAAACTATTGAATCCTCGCAAACAAATAGATTCATTGGATGCCGTAAGTTGAATTAATTGAATAGTGTCATTATAACGCATTCCAAATTAATTTTAATTGAAAAGACCCTCTTCTTAATTAATGATAGATTTCTTTTGGTACAGGTGATTCCATTAGAAAATGTAAAATACGCAGTAGCCATGGATTGGGATCACAACACTAATACAATATTCTGGACCGACGTTGATAAAGATACAGTTAACCGCGCATATCTTAACGGATCTAACCAAACTGTTATCGTTTCTTCGAACCTCAGTAAGTCTTTAACCGTACATTGAATACTTCATAACTCATTTGTGTCTAAGTACAAATTAGGAATATTGTAAACAAACACAATTCTGTTTCAGGTTTCTTGTGTCATTGTTCTGTACCACTTATTTATTTTTCCAGTATCGCCAGCGGGCCTAGCATATGACTGGTTAACAGACAAGCTGTATTGGACCGATTCTGGCAGTAACAGAATCGAAGTAGCACATTCTGATGGCACTATGAGAGGACTTTTGGCTTGGAAAGATATCGACAAACCTAGGGATATAGTTTTGAATCCAAAAGGTAAATTATGTGTCATTAAAAATGACTAAAAAAAGATCCTTTTATTTTTCTTAATTATAATGCCCTTACTTGAATGTGTGTTTTAGTTTTTTTTTTAATTTTACCATTTCTAGGTGGAGTGATGTACTGGTCGGATTGGGGTGCAACCCCGTGTATAGAGCGCGCAGACATGGATGGCAGCAATCGAAAGAGAATTCTGTTCGGAGACATGACCTGGCCGAACGGACTGGCCGTGGATTATGATAATAACCGTCTCTATTGGAGCGATGGCGGCAACCGAACAATAGAATACGCTAATCTTGACGGAACTGGTCGTACCGTTTTAATTGGTAATTATGAAAGAGATTTATAGAGATATCCTTAACCACATGCAATGCTTATTGTTGAGGATTTGCAGGTTCACCTCGTTATTATATTATTCATAAAGTAAGTATGTATATTCTAATATCTTTGTTTTTGTGCCTTTGTTTCTCAAGCTCAAAATATTCCACATCCCTTTGGATTGGATTTATTCGGCGACGAAGTTTTATGGACGGATTGGGAAGCGAAATCTATTCAAGCAGCTAATAAATATACTGGTAAGAATAGACGCACCCTTGGCGCTGGGATTGATGGACTAATGGATGTTAGAGTTTTTCATACTGAAAGGAAATTTGTAGCCAATCGGTAAGTTACATGGAAGTAAAGTTTTCAGTAACTACTGCTTAATGAATACTAAATTAAACTTTTTTTTTGTTTCAGTTGTGCGAAAAATAATGGTGGTTGTTCCCATCTCTGTTTACTAAAACCAAATGGGCGATCTTGTGCTTGTCCCACGGGTATTAAAATAAATGTATGTAGTCTTAAATTGTTAACATATAAAATTTTTGAAAATGCTTTCGTATTGACGCTGCAAATATTGTTAATTTCGCAGGACGATAAAAGAACGTGTCCCGGAGGTCCTTTAAATTACTTGATTTTTGCACATCGTATCGACATACGCATTATGTCCTTGGATGTTCCGTACCTCGTAGATGTTGTGATGCCGCTGCCTCCGCTCAAGAATACATTAGGTGTTGATGTCGATCAAAGAACAGGTAAAATTAGTCAAAACCCAGTTAGTTACCTTGTGCTCACTTGACATAAGACTGTTCTTCTTCACATTCTCATAACTGGTTGACTGGTTGTATTCCGTAGGTATGGTCTACTGGAGTGATACAGCTGAAAGAGTAATTCGGCGCTCGAACCGGCACGGACAAAACATAGAGACAATTTTCTCACACGGCATCCGTACCTGCGACGGCATGGCTATTGACTCTGCTGGACGGAAGGTATGATATATTACTTGATAGTTTAAAGAATCCTTAAACATTATTAACTAAAATCTACAAATGCAATCATTTAAAACCTATGAATACAATAACTTTACTAAGAAAGTGTTTTTAGATTTACTGGACTGATGGAGGGCGAAATAGCATTGAAGTTGCAGAATTAGATGGAAGCAACAGAAAACTACTCATTTGGACTGGATTAGGTAAGTTCATTTTGTACATAAATTATTCTTGGTAGTTAGGTTTGATATTAATTCATGTGATATATGTTTTCATTAGATTCTCCTCGAGCCATCGCATTATATTACGAACAGGGCTACATGTTCTGGTCGGACTGGGGAACAACTGCTAAAATTGAGCGGGCTGACATGGACGGTAAAAACAGGTAAGTGAAAAATCATAATTAAATCCAAATTTGGTTGGAATAGGCTGCTGGTTTCCTATTTTACAATACAATTTTTATTTTACAGACAGGTTATTGTAGATAGCAATATAAAATGGCCCAACGGTCTAGCGATAGATAGAAATGAAGGCCGCTTGTACTGGAATGATGCTAAGATGCTTACGATTGAATGTTCTAATTTCAATGGCAAAGAACGACGTACTCTTTTGAACAAAGTTCCTTATCCCTACGGAATCGTGTTAGTTGGCCAACACATCTACTGGACGGACTGGAAGACCAAAGCTCTTCATAGAGCTGATAAGACTACTGGCGAAAATCAATTGAAAATCAGAGAGAATTTAGAAGGTTTGATGAATCTACGCGCGGTACAAGTTAGTATTTAGTCATTTTATAAAATTAAAAACTACGATTAAATGAAGTAATTCGTACACATATCCACTTTCCCTACTCCAATTTTTCTATCTCTGAACTTCTTTTCCACGGAGTATTTTAAATTTTTCACTTTACAGGGTGACCAAGTGTTCACGAACGCTTGTGGTGAAAATAATGGAGGATGCTCTCATCTCTGTCTGCGAGCTCCCAAAGGATATTCCTGTGCTTGCCCGACGGGAATACTTTTCGAAAACGACACTGAACCAAATCCGAAGACCTGTAAACCTCATCCTGACAATTTCCTGGTGTTTGCCACTAAAAAGACTTTGACAATGATGTCTTTGGATACACCGGAGCAATGGGATATTACGCTACCTGTGAAGAACATCTCAAGTACGGTTGCTGTTGACTACCATTGGGAAGAAAAAATGATATATTTTACTGATGTCGGTTTTGGTGTGATCAGGTTTGTTCTAGATCATTATTCATATAATTGAAATATAAGATTGAGTACACCTTTGACTATACCACAACTGTTTAGTTCCCTTTGATTCCTATGATTGTATATGGAGGTGCGCACACTACTCGAATTTTAGTTGTGCAACTATTGATTTGGCTTCGAAACAATCGACAATCGCACAACAGTTGTGCTATAGTTTAGTCAAAGTACGCCCGCTTTTAAAATCTGAATCTTTAAGTTACACGTTGATTTGTTTTATATTTTCAGATCTATTAATATGACAAACATGAGAGAAACCAAAATTATAATCAAAGAAAACTTGACTGCTCCGAACGGTCTGGGCATTGACTGGATTGCTAATAATATGTACTGGACTGATAATGAATACAAGGTAACATATGTTCATCAATATGGTAAGAAATCTCATATTGTTTCGTTAATTATATACTCAATTGCAGGTTGTGGAGGTGTCACGTTTAGATGGAACCTGCAGAAAGACTTTAGTCACAAATTTATCGGAACCTCGCTCACTCACTGTGTTTCCAGCAAAAGGGTAATGTTAACGATAACTAGTTAGAAAAATATTTTCTAAATAATATGAACAGTTTCATTTGCAATCTTATTTGTAGGTTTCTATATTGGAGCGATTGGGGAGAGGTGCCACTGATAGAACGAGCTTTGCTAGACGGTAGTCAGAGAAAAGCCATCGTTACCCACGATCTCGGCTTCCCTAATGGCCTGACAATTGACTTCAAAGGCCGCAGACTCTATTGGACCGATGCTTTGAAACAGAGAATCGATACATCTGATCTGAACGGACAACATAGAGTGCAATTAGTGCCTCACGCGAAAAATCCTTTCGGAATGACACAGGTGGGTAGTAAAGAAGAACGAAAAAAACAACGTAAAAACACCTTTACTCTTACTAAATCACCTGTTTTAATTCTGATTGCCTTTATTAAACATAATAGAATAATTTCAATAATTTTTAAGCCATAAAAACATCTGTTATTTTAAATTCCCGAAATACGGATAATCTTAGTATTTACCAGTAAATCCTAAGACATACCAATAGCTTATGGTTAAAATCCGATAATACGTGATCTTGTGTGTGTAGTTAGGCGAAAATTTAAATGCATAGGAATTGCACTACTTAACATATTGTAAAGAATAAATCTTGCTACAGTTCAATGACTACATCTACTGGACGGACTGGTTCAAGAAGTCAGTGATGAGGGTCGACAAGAAGACTGGTAAGAACGTGACCGCGGTTAGCGCGGAATTAGACACGTTGATGGAAATAAAAGCGGTGTCGGCGGAAAAGCAGCGCGGCTGGAACCCGTGCAGAGACGACAACGGCGGCTGCAGCCATCTCTGCCTCTTTAGAGGACCAGACTACGTATGCGACTGCCCCAATGTACCAGACGAACGGCCGTGCACTAAGGGTAATTTTTGTTTAACGTTTTTTATTCGAAAACTTCCAAGCTACGCAACCTGTGTTGCTGACATTTCAATTTTATATACTTTCATTACGCCAATGATGTTCAAATACGTCATTAGTCAGGCTTTAAAATTAGAAAATCCCATTAGAGTAACGACTAATGACTATAAACTACATGCCTTCACACTTTAGGACAAAACAAACTTTGAAGTTTTGAAAAAATGTGTCCCAAAAATCAGTCGGGATAGTATAATATCCATTCATTTAATTTAGTGGTGTGTATTATTTACGAGTGAACAGACAATTTGCTTTTGCAGAAACGAAATTACGTGTCGATAGAATGCCGTCTCATTATCCATCATACTACGATTACATGGACACTGAGGTGACAGTAAAGCCACCCTTGCCCACCGCCCAGCCGGAGAGGAGCATCATCGTCATTATAATGGGCACCGTACTCGCGTGCTTCGTCATCTTTGGAGCTATCATTATTATCATCATTTGCGGTAAGTACTTATTGATATTTTTACTTTTATACATATTCAATTATGCGTTTCAAATTTCGTCTAATTTTCAAACGAATTTAATAGCAACCGCGTTCGCAGGTACTACAGAAGGTAAGATTTTTGTACTTATTACTTCTACCGAATAGGTTGATTACCGAGTAATGTCCAGAATAAATTTAATGTGAGTCGTTTTGCTGTTTATAAGAATTGATTTGCACTATTTACTATGCCTATAAATATAAATCTTTTAATTCCAGTGAAACTGTACACGGGGCGCAGCGGCGAGCTGAAGGAGAACTACCGCGAGTCCGGCGGACACATCTCCTTCCACAACCCCAACTACAGCTGCGCGGCCGGCAG